GATGTGCCCTGTTTCCAACTCCACTGTTCGAAGGAAAAACTTCGGAAAAGTGGTAGGGAGATGGTAGCTAAGCTGATTGATGGGGAACACGGGGAACAGAATGAAGATTTTTGGATAGAAGGTCGTTATACGATAGGATCCCCCTCCCTCGCCCCAACGGCAGAACATGCCTTGAGCTTAGATCGTCCGTCTCTTTCAACTACAGGTACAACTTCAATCGCAACTGAGTTTCATGCGCTCCAAAGCAACTGTTCCCGGAACAACAATCCATCCTTCATGTCGTTAAGGATCGGAGGAGAGATACCTTCCATCTAAATTTGGATATCACTCAAAGTGCACGAAAGTAGAGAGGACTTTGGACTGAAGGAAAGGTCACTAGTCTTTTATCAGTTCTCTCATGTAAAAGAGAATAGATAAGCGCTAGTATGAAGAAATCCGGGGCAAGAAAAACTTCGGACTGAAGGAGTGGTCCTTGAGGTGACCTTCTTATCACCTTGAGACCTTTCTATCACGCAGACGGAAAAAAAACACCAAAGTGCTCCCGTGAAGAAAATGGAAACCGGTTATGACCAAATGTTGTTAACCTTTTGCGTCTGGCATGACTTATTTGATTGTTTCGCGAAGAGCAATGGGGGAAAAGAGAAGAGGAGGGATGTTCGCATTTCCAGGGAGCAGTTCGAAAATTTTTCTTCTATAAGACCGGAAAATGGGGATGGTACTACTGCAAACAATGGTCGCCTTGCCATATTTGAGCCCATGAGCAACTCTGCCTTCAAAGACGATTGCCGCGACCAAATGTAACAGGTAGCACGTGCTCAGTCACCAGTAGCCCATCGAAAACTCATCTTTAGAGAAAGAAGCGAAAACAAATTTGAAAACACCCTGAGCACAGAACCCCTAACAGGGGAGGGGGCGTCGCCTTGGACGAGTTCATCATGAGGACAAGCTCAATCAGCAGGATTCTAGGTGCAACCAGTTCCCGGCAAGAGCATAGGAAATCGCCCTACGACGCTCCAGGCAACGCTATGTACACACGCAATTCCGCTTGTAAGCCGTGTCCTGCAGTGTTACAGTTTCTTAATGGGAACATCAAGATTCTAACGTGGGTATGATCGGAGCGCTGAAAGATTGTGTTGTAGTACGCGAGACCATTTATCTGAACGGTTCTCTGCGCGTTACAGCGGCATGTGCTCGGGAGCAAGGTAGAGCATTCTTGGGAAAATCTCATCGAGAACCGTACTTGGTCACTGCTGGGGTCGTACTTTGTCGGTTGGGATGCTCTCTAGGTCGCTTTGAGAAGCGGTCCCTGCAAGACAGTTGTGGTAGGAATGGTAGGCTGTGGTCCACAGCTGACAGTGGACAACGTTATGCCAGTTTCGTCACGGAAAGTTACAAGATAAGGGAGTTGAGGCGCAAAGTTGCTCCGGTGGCACCTCCCTTGTTCTAGTAACTCAGACTTTTCCTTCAAAGCCCTTTTTCCAATCAGAAGCATCACTACTGGGTAAGCAGGATTAAATGATGATGTGCTCTCTCTTATGGGATCACAGGGTTCATTACAAGGAATCAGCCAACTGGACTGATCACAACACGCAGCCCTTCGGCCATTTGACCGTACAGTTGTTTGAGGCTGGACCGGCCTTATTAAAGGCGTAGCCAACGTTCTTTGGCATTTTCTCTTTACGAAGAGTCTTTTGACAACTTCTGTTCCACATTTCGACACCACTACCTACGCTCCTTATCGCGGACCGTGCCTTCCAAGGATTTTCCCGAGAAAGCTCTCTGGTTATTAATTTTTCGCGATTTTTCCCGCTTCATGTGCGCTATGCCGCTCCTCCATCGTTCGCTCGTGTAGGGTAGTTTGTAGATGGAAAAGTAGGCCATTCTGTAAGAAAAAAATAGGAATGGTCTTCAGGTGAGTCGTACCGAGTCCGCGCTTCCCATCCCGATACTGACCTTGCAGGAAGTCCTAGAGTCTTCTCCATTCAATTGGGCATTAGCTTGCGCACGTAGAACGCTCGGTTTTGGGGTGGGGGACGAGTAAAGCAACTCACTCGCTGAATTCGTCGCTCATTTATATCCTCGGATGGCACTTCCTTCTGAGATGCGCCATACAATGCTTTGCTGAGTGACGAAATAATTCGTCGTTGTTCTCACATCTTCTAAATTCATTATTACATCTTCTAAATTCATTATTTTCAGTGAAAAGGTTCTCGAACAATGTGGTTAAGCCATTGGTACGTGAAATGGACGAGAAATCGCAAATGCATCAATCGGTCATTACGGGAGTCTTTGAGAACGGGGTATGTCGTTTTTGTCGTTCATGCCACTAACGAGCCATACGTTTATCATGGAGCACGCTTCATGTCTTTTTCTGGCCCTAGGTAGGTTGAGACTGTGATAATGCCTTACAGAGTGATGCCAGTTTAGCACAATCTCCACCGCTTTCGATGAAAGATCAGTTATTGTATTGCCTATGAATTCCAGCGAAATTCCGAGGCTAAGCGCTTCATGGATTTTGCCGCGTTCTTCCGCGCTCCACCAACGGTTCTAAAGGCGGAAGAAGCTTTGTGGAAAGAAGTTGACCTGTGTTATAGATACTTATTCCGCGACTTCATGGGAATGTTGTTCAAATTCGAACCTGTTCTTACTAGTTGAAATACCTTTGAAATGGGCAGGAGGTGGTGTAGTGACAAGTGGCGCGGCTCACACATTAGCGCGGTCCTAAGAAATTCAAATTCAGGCTTTGACTCCCGCCTTAACTAAGCCCTCTGTCCCGGGGACGGCGAAGTCGGTAACGAGAATTCCGTCTGGGAGGATATAACACTGACTTTGTACATCGGCTGCCCCGCAAGTCAACTGTCATAGACCACGCATTCAAATAAGCGCACTTCTGAATGGAGTATTTATAGAATGCGTGCCGCAATTCACAAAGGGATTTATCAACGGCGAAAACTTTATCCTTATCCTTTAACTCGTGATGTGTGAATGAAACCGTCAAACCCGTCCGGAATAAGGCCTCAGCTGATTTCCAGCATTCAAGACGTGATGATTCCAAATGGAAGGAGAACGCCAAGCGACAGACCAACCCAGCGCCACATCTACGAAGACACGAGTGAAAGAAGGTTTAAATGCTGGAAAGTTGTTCTTCATTTGTTCTTCGAAGCTTCGTCGGAAATGAGGCATTTGACGGTCTAGAGGGCAAATTATGACTCCTGAGCCACCTTAAGGCCTCCGAGGTCGACGATCTGGTCGAAAAGTTAGACCGATAGTACGCCAGTTCCAACCTGAGCGCTCTCCTCGGCACACAAAGTATCCCACAAAGATAAGAAAGATATGGAATCGCATACAGTTGTACATTCATGTGCATCGATCTTCGAAAGTGGGCGGGCTATCTGGCTATTGCAAGCCCCCAACGTTCTTGTAACACCCTTCCAGTGTTGGCAAAGATTCTCTTCCACTCTCTCTCTCATCTCTCTCTCTCTCCTCTGCCCCTGAGCGGCTGCCGGCTGCGGAACTAGTGTCCTTGACGCCAGCAGAACCCACCCTTCAGGTAATCGCGGAATGTGTCTTCAGGTCTACCTTTGCCGAAGTAACTTGGTAGATTGTTCCACCACTACCGTGTACAACTGGCACGGTCAAGTCCTCGCGTAGAGTTGTCGGCTGGTTGTTGCAAAAGTATTGACGTCGCGCCTGTCTCCCAACAAGCTCCCCTCATTTTTGGTCTCCTCGCCCAAGCTGTTCCCATTTCACAAACGCTCAAATCGCAGGCCACTTGCTGCTTATACGCGGCATGCTCCTACTGCGTCGTTTCATTGTGACACTTCGCTAAATTCCCTTAGAGCGAACCTTCCTCAAAAGCGCCACCTCCGCTCGTCTGCACTCCTAGTTCGGCCTAGTAGAGAGCTAGACGTTGAATATCAAAAATGGTTCTGAGTCAGCAGATATTTTTCAATTGATATGGAAAAATTAACGACATTGAAGGCGAACATAAATTTATATCCTTTCAGTTTATGGGAGCTGAAATTCCTGAAAAATATGGCGGTCCAGGATCTTCATTCTTCGATGCGATACTCATCATAGAAGAACTTGCCAAGGTGTCGTTTCAATCATTTGTTGTTTTTGTTGTTCAGAAGATTTTGCTGGAGGACTTTTCTTGGCGCAGTTCGGTTTGGTGGGCGCACCCAATGACACTTAGCGTAGCTAGTTCAGGCCACCTTATGAAGATCTGTGAACTCCTATGACCAAAAAGGCTCACTGACACTTTTTCACAGCTTCACAGGACTTCGCATGTCTCACCAAGTCTTCAAGTGTAATCTGTTAATTAACATGACCAGCAGAGGGATCTAGCGAAAGTGCAGAATGCCCCTCCCAAGCTGAACAGCGCCCTACTTTTTGCATTCTCACCCATTACTGTTTACTTCAATACCTTTTTATAGATCGATCCGTCAGTATCGGTATTCGTTGATGTGCAAAATACACTCGTGGCCCCTTTGATAATGCAACTTGGAACCGAAGAACAGAAACAGAAATATCTTCCAAAAATCTCCACCGAGTGGGTAAGGTTGAACTTTAGTTGATATCTGGCTGTTCCGGCAGTCGTTTTTTTAATTCACATTGTTTCAATAATTACTGGATCAGTCGATCTACTCTACTTTCTGGTGTATAAGGCGCACTTGTCGGCATATTCGCAGGGCCGCAAGTAGCGACGCAACGCGCGCGGAATTCTTAAACACAGCAGTTGATTTTTTGTCTACTTCTGCATTGTTTTATCTTCCCAATGGCGTCCAAACCAGGGCATGTCCTGGGGAAAATTTTGCAAATACTACCCGTCCCCCCTCAAAGTTTCCTCCTCTGGTACGACCCTCCCCCTTCCCCGTCCCAGTCCTACCTACCATCTATAAGCTTTATTAATTTCCCATCTCGTGTCCGTAGCTTCTTTCAGGAACTCGCTTTCCCTCACCCTCCGGCCCCCTCCTCCCACAAACCCACAAAACCGTCATTAGCGGGCTGGGAGGAGTTATATAGTGCCAGTGAAACAGAAAAAGCGAGATTCAACAACTAAAAAGTTTATTCTCAAAGGCAAATACGACCTCCCTCCCCACCTCCAGCGATCATGTGCAACCCCTCGCTAAGGATTCTCAGCGTACAATGGGCCCTATTTCAAACACTTCTTTCTTGAAGGCATAGGGTACGATAATTCGGTACTCGTCTGAAATGGTAGCAGGGATGCTATATAGTGGGGAAAATGGCGAAAAAGCGAAGTGAAACGGTCAAAAACCTGCGAAAAAAGCCTTTGTTCTACACGATTCAGAAAGCAATTTCGGACGAGTTTCCCGTTGGCGTCGTGCCAATAACCGCTGCGGTAGATACTGCTGCATGTGTGTA